ATTCTTTCTTCCCCGCCCCGCTTCCTTGCGGGGTGGCCTCCTCCCTCCAAAAACCGCCTTTACCTTTGCGGGGCGCGCCGAGCCGCAGCCGTGGGGCAGGTTCCGGGGGTCTCACCTGCCAAAACAACAATAACAATAAAGGGGGGAGGGGACCGTTGTCCCTCCGTGTCCCGTTCCCCGTGTCCCCCCCCCGGTTACCACTCCGGGACCACAAACCAACCGGGCTGCCCTGGGAGCAGGTCTGCCACGGCCGCGCTGAGGGGGGGGAACCCGCCGGCCGGGTCGTGTCCCCCCCCGGCCCGAGAAGGGATTTGGAGAGAAAAAACGGCGCCCCCCCCCCCCCCCCGTCCCGTCCCCATCCTTCCCCGCTCAGCGACCCGCGGGCCGGGGAGCGCTGCCGCCCGCCGGGGCGGGAAGGGGCGCGGGATTTGCGCGGGCGCGGAGGGCCCCGCCGGCGGCCGTACTCACCCGGGCGGCCCCGGGGCTGCGCCTCCTGCTCCGCGCTGGCTGCCCCGATCCATCGATTTATTCCTGGAAAAACGCGGCGCATTCTTATAGCAGCTACGAGCAATTAATATTGCATTAACCCTATTTAAAAAAAAAAAAAAAGGGGAAAGGGAAAAATCCGCACCCTATCAAAGCCATCTATTATTAACGCGAGGGTAATTGGAGACCCGAGACGTGGGTGTATGCGTGTCGTGGGGCAAGGCAGGCGAACACAGGCGTGACAGTGTGGCGGGAAGGAAGGGGAGCAGGGGCTGGCTAATATTTAATTTCAGGTCTGTGGTTTTCTAATTCGAGATTAAAAGCAGTCACGTCTTTGAAGCCAGACACTTGGTGTAAATGTACAGTTAAAATATTCTATTCCACAGTCCCCAGACAGAGCTCTGCTACTCCCAGGCTTCATTAAATTTTAATTATCATCCCAGACTGGAGCAAGGGAAGAGGGGGAAGACTGTCCACCTAATTGCAATTGATAAAGGCAAAGAAGCCTAGATCTTTTTCCTCGCCGTGCACGCCCAGCAGTTGTTGTTGTTGTTGTTGTTGTCTTAATGCGGGCAAAGCCCGGCGAGGGCAGCGTGAGCGTCTCCACCTATAGATCTGCTGTTTACAAAAGATGCACGTGAAGGAAAGCCGGGAAGTGATGGTATAGATGGGTGTTGGGGCGGGGGGGGGGGAATATTAGCTCTTGGAGAGATCTGGCGAAAGATCAACGGAGGAGACAAGGACCCTCATTAGGGCTCGGCAGCTTATTGTTTCCCAAAACAAAGCGCTCCCGTGCCTCAGCCCTTCCCGGCCGGGGCAGCGGTGCCGAGCGGCAGCAGAGGGGATGGATGCCCGGGTACCCGCCCCGGCTCTCTCGGAGCCCACACGCCTCTGCCCCCCCCGGCTCTTTCGTGCCTTTTCGTTTTGTTAATAATCTGCATGTGTGGGACAGACAGGTACGGGGAGAAGTCCACTAATTGCCCCAGGTTTTTAATTTGGGGAAACTAGAGAGCGGTCTATCTCCAGGCGGTAAAAGGTAAAAAATAAAACCCACCGCGTTTGCTTTCTAAGCAGCTTCCTATTATCACATCGCCACTTAATTTTATTTCCATTCTCTCCAAGTTAAATAGAAAGCCGAGCTCACAGGGGAGCTGCCATGTGCCTACAGACTGGGGATGTCAAGCAGAGAGACTCACTGTGCAAAGTTAATTTCAATTCCCGAGGAGGATTTCACATTCTCGCTCGCTCTGACCCACAGTAATTAGCTGAGATAACTAATGATTACTTACTTATTCCTTGTAATTATCTGGATTTAATAATTCGCTGTGTAATTTATTAATTCGCCCGTAATAGCCTTTAAGTGAATGGCTCATTTAAGAGGGCGAAGCGGCAGTTCAGGGGCTGTTCGCCGCCTGCGCCTCCTGACGCTTTTGGGGGGCTCGCTGCTGCTTTCAGGGGTCCACTGGCCCCTGCCCCCTCCGGGCTGGCTCGCCCCGACCCGCCGCTTTCC